CTTATGGAAATAAGGTTATACTATATATTTTACATAGGCTGTTTTCCAATAATTTTAAATAGAGAAATGTTTTCTTGAGTTGCTTCTCAATAAGATATTTTTTTACCTTAAGACTTTTTCCTTATATTTTTTAATAGTTGTCTCACTTAAATGTAATATTTATTATTAGTCAACGCAGATATCCTCACACTCTTTTGTTAGAAAGAGACTGCATAAGTGAACGTAAGGTATTTTTAATATCTGAGTCGTATTTGGGCCATTTCAAATTACATTCTTCGAATGTGTCAAACCGCATTTTGATGCATGATAAAAAATTTGTGGATTCACTTGAAAAATATTGCATTTAACAATACTCAACATTTTTCAGTGTAACAGAGCTGATAACAATTGCAATGTCTGCTTTAAAAATTAAAGCCGACTTCAGATCATGAATTCAATTTCTTCAGCGACAAAAATTAATATAAATAAATATTATAAGCTCTGCAAGAATGTTGGGCCATATTACAAGTACATTTGTGTCTAATTAATTGAGATTTTTTTTCTGGTCTTTCCATAAAAAAAGTTATATTAGCAGCAGAGTTTTTAACAAATTTTCCAAAGTATTTTAAATCCTTAATAATTGATTAAGAATATGAACAGAATATTTTTTTTCACTTTCATTTTGAAATAAGTTTTAGAGTAATGAAAATTGATAAATTGGTATATTAATTTAGTGCAATGTTTGTCGTGCTATCTGTCCATCTGTATGAACGAAACTTTTTTCGACACCCTTAGATAATGAGAAGGCCACTAGGAGGCTAGAAAATCGATAATCGCAAATCGATAAATCCACATATCACCCACAAAATTGTAGGGCTACAGTCACCAACATTTTTTCGGTAGATTGTTGGCGATGTCTTTTAAAGATCGGTATATGTCACGCCCACCTCCGCTTCCCCCGGACTCCCGACATAAAATATCGGAAATGGCTATATAACGCCATCAATTTTGGAAGGTATATTGCTGCATATCTCCCAAAATTTAAAGAAATAGGCTCAATACTTGGAAAATAGCCTGCAAGAAGTTTCCTTCCAAAGATTGGCATATAAATATTCAGACTACGCTCACAATCGACGCCCCAGGAACTTCCGCCCAGTAATTTGCAATTCATATATTTTGCACAAGTTGGAATTAAGATTACTAGGAATCTGGAAATCTTAAGTATTTTTTCAGCCACTCCAGCCCTCAGCCTATATCTACCCCAGTTCTATAGCCAAACTTGGAGAATAGTTTACTACAAACCTCTTTCAAAGATCGGTGTATCTTAGCGACCTTGTTCTGTAGCACTTGTTATCAAATGGTGATAATTGTGGTTTGTTTTTATGTACGCAGAGCTCTTACATTACCTCTTTGACATATGCAAACATTTTAGTATAGTGGAAACCAAATTCAAATTTCATTATTGTTTTCTGAATATCAGAGAGAATCTGAATCCAAATCTACAAAATGTTTCTAATGTTCAGAGTGATTTGTTTCTGTGTATTTCGTATTCCAATTTGGTATAATCATTTGATTTAATATTTTCTTATTTTTGCACATCTTCAAACTTAACAAATATTTAAACAATTATGAATACATTGTTAATCTCAACGGCATAAAATTCCTCTGAAATTCAATAATAATTAAATTGGTTTTCAAAAGTCAGCCCAATTAATTTATTTTGCATAAGAAAACTTAACTTCAATATCAAGCTGTCTTTTGCATTCCAACGCGCGATCTTCCCATGTTATATCCTGGCCACATTAACTGAGTCCAGCGGACACTGAGGCATGCCACTCGTTTGATATGCTGCTACGTGATTTATGCAACGGTAATTAGTGGCACAAATCATTGGAGGCAAACAATAAATGTGGTTCGTTTGGTCAAATCAATTGCACACTCTATGGCCGCAAGCAACAGGAAACGTCAAACACTTCAGACTGCAAAAACAATGTGCTCAAGTGGCATGCGACATGTGGCATGTGGCATGTTGCAGACATGTGGGCGTTCCACATGGTACTATTAGCAACATGTGCTGCTGCCATTGTTATCATTGCCATTGTCAACGATAATAACAACAAGAGTGTAGTACAACAACAAGAGTTGCACAAACAACACTAACAATGCCAACACCAACAACAATAACACGAACAGGAGCAATAACAATGCCTCGTTGCCATCTGGCCAAATTAATGAGCTGTTGATGTCGCTACAGGAATATTTGAGATATTACCAACTATTGAATTTTCTGGATTTATGAAGCGTACTTAAAGCGTTTACAGTGCTTAATAATGCGATTTATTTTGTACCTATAATTCTCAAATTTTGTTTTTGCCTCACTGTTTAAGAGTTAAGTTTTTCATTTTTGCTAAACATTCTCATGGGGTATTTTCACAATTAAATTTTACACTATACATTACTTAGCTTAAAAAATATATATATTTTACAGCCAACGTCTTTTTCATCATGTTCTCTAGATTAAATCAAACTTGACTCCCAAAACTTTGAATTTTTACAAATGTCGTCATAAAATATAATCACCCTTTGCGAGGTTATAACAATGTTCCTAAATATAAAACTCATTTTTTTTCTTTTTTAGTATATATTTGTTTATTGTGCGGTCTCTCACATTTTGGCGGGTTCTATCATAAATGATTCATATATTATTTTTTATTATTGTCATTCTTCATTTAAAATATATCCCTATGCGGATAACTATTAAATGATGTAACAATAGATTAACAACATCCTATATCTAGTTATAGTTATAGTTTTGGTAACTTATGTAGATTCAGATAATGGTAAATCTAACGTGAAATTGACAGTTTGAATCTAAACCGAAAAGTAATTATATCGAGGTCCCGAACGGAACGTCTCAAGGATTGAGTCTCTTAAGTAAACTGATTAATGGCTGTTGAGATAGTCAAAGAGTTATTTCTTGTATCTGTAGCTGAGTTTTGGAATGATTAATTTTAGTGATATATTTATTTCATCTTAATAATTTTAGAAAATTACGAAGAGAACTGACTTTAAGGTCGAAGCCAGCCTAAAAAAACCATTATTTTCAAGAAAACAAAAGTCAGTAAACCCAAAAAATACCATAAGTTAACTAGTGTATAAGAAAATTTAAGTGGGTAACACTGTATGTTGCAGTCAAGTGCAACACTTGCATAAATTAAACAACATTGGATGTTCAAATGCGGCCCACTAAGTGGGTTTCCTTCTGTGTTGCAGTTGTAGGTGCTGAGTTAGCTGCTAGTGTTGCTGTTGGGCAAGCGTACATGTTTCCTATTATCGATACAGCCAGACATTACCAACGCAGAGAGAGCTAGAGAGACAGAGAGACAGAGAGAGAGAGAGAGAGATACACAGAAAATGAGATAGAGAGAAAGATAGGAGCATGCATAAAACATGTATCGGCACTGTGGCAGCAAATTGAATCAATAATATCCAATCATGGGTTAACAATGCGAATTGATTTCTAGCAAGCATGCCACTTATAGGAAGGATGCACTGAATGCACTCTGCCACGACCATGTGCAAACATGACTGTCCAAAGATAACAACAGCAACAGCAACAATTGGCTGTCTCGTTTGGCTTGACTTTTGCCTCTCAAGTGTTCATGTAAATATTAATTAAGTTTTGGCTTTTGCTGCATTGGCCTTGGCAGAATGTACACGAATGTACACTCAGAAAAAAATCAGCCTCAATTTTATAAGAAAAAAATCCCAGAAAACAATAAAGTTTTTCTGGTGTTAAGAAATAATTCCTAAATATACGAACAACATTTTTTAATATTTGTATAATTTGTCCTATAAAACGTAGAGCACGACTCCACTTTCAGAAAACAACTGATCTGAAATTCAGTAATTAAAATTAAATTATAATTTAAAATAAAAATTGGTCCGAACACTAGAAAGTTTGGCTGGCTTTTAGAAACAATTGTGTTTTTTTAGTCAGAAAGGCCTATTTTCTATTATATTTTCAAATAAAGAATACATTTTAAAAAGAGGTCTGCATATGTCAAATCTCAAAATAATAATGTTTAATAATAATTAACTAACAAAAAAGCTAATTTAAAATTTAAAATTACACATTTTTCCACCATAAAATTAAAAAATTAAATCCGTGGTTTTTAGAGAGTTATAACCTTCCGTTTTGGAAAAATGATTTCTACAAATGAAGGTCATTTCTCCTTCACAACAAAAGTATGTCGATTTTAAAAAAATTCAGGCAATTAGATTTTCTGACTGTATGCATGTATATATACATATATGCGACATCAGGTGTGTGAGCGACTAGTGTTATCAGCAATATTAGTGACTTAGTTAGTTTGCTGCCATTGGCAATTGTTTAATCAACTTATGTGCAGCTCAACTCTTCGGACATTGCATTTAATTAGTTGACAAAGAATTTCATTTAATTTGACACTCAATTGCAATACCCTTGCTTGTTATTGTGGTGGTTGCTTGGACTCCTCTGAATTTATTCACTAACGACAACGATTGTTGTATCAGGCTGTTTACTGAATGAAAATAATTAAATTGTAGCTGGTGGAATGACTATATAACTTACAACTTGTTTAATTTAATTGAAAGTCACTGCATATGGTACAAGCTATCTGGTAACTTTTGGGTGGAACAGATACAAATATAATTGAGTTAAGCTTACACTCTTAAAACATTTGTCCAGATCCATTTTAATTGATAAAAATAAATAAATTACAATTTGAATATACTATAAATTCATTGAGATACCTATAATAATTATTGCAAGAAATTGATTTAGTTATTTAAAGACATAACTTGGAAAATAAAATAAGTTTAAAATACTCTACTTAACAATTTATATTCCTTTTTTATTACAATTGTTTCATAAATCTTAAACTCAGTGCTTTTACAGATTAAGCATTTAATTACTCTCAAGCAATAGAAAAAATGAAATATCTTATTTTACACAATTATTTTAGCATAATTTATTCATTGCTTTGGTCAATCCAAATCGAAATATGAAAGCTGCTTAAGTTCATACTAAATAATAAAGTGAAAAACACCAATCAATCATCACTATGTTGATAATTTTTTCACAAAATGTTATTCTATCTTCTGCTAAGTTTGGTATCAGAGTTAAGAACCACATTTCCAACTTGTTTTCAAATAATTATGTTCCAATTTAGATATAAATCAAACTTTAACATTATTGCATATGCTTCGTGATTATGTTTCGTTCCGAACTCCGCTCTTATGGGTAATCGGCTTCTGACAACGGAGCTGGAGACAACTCCGCATGTGTCTCATCGACGCCATTAATGAAAATAATTACAATGCCCAGAGCAGGACGCAGATTGTCGGGCATGTGAGCATTATCGCCGCCCAAGAGGATGACACATGGCCTGCCAGTGATGCCAATGGGCAGCAATCGCGTCACAAACTGAGCAAGCCTGTGCTGGTTCATGCGACGCATCTCCAGCGTGCTCAAGCCATCTGGCCAGCTTTCTTCGTAGCTACAGTCTAACAGCATCCCCATCAAGCGCATGGGACATCCACTGGCCCGTAGGCCCTCGCGCACAGTCTGCACCATGGTTGAGTCCGGCGTCGAGATCAGGCTGCCCCAGGTGCGAACCGAAGCCAGGGGCAGACTACGTCCCCAGCGCATCAGCCAGTATCGATCCAGCTGATCCCCAACAGTGCGAATAACGGGATTTGTTGCACGCAGCGTGGCAATATAATGCTGGAGCATCTCCAGCTCACGCCTTTGTTGGACCAGACGTTGCTCCTGTCGGGACTGCATTTGCTGAAGCTGAGACAAGGCACTGAGTTGATGCTGGAGCTGCAGACGTAGCTCGAGGACGCAGTTGTGCCTGAACATCTCATCCTTGGGAACCTTCATGCCACAGCCCTTAGTGCAGAGTACCTCCACCTTGGGATTGCTTTGGCAGTTCTCCACATGCCTGCGATACTGCTCCAACGGCATAAGTGCCGAGCAACCGTTTTCTGAAAAACAACACTTGATCTTCAGCCTTCCCAACATATTACGCATGAATCTCGGAACGGTCACCAGATGGACAGGCAGTAGATCAGATCGATCCACTGGACAGATGTGCTTCTCATTCATCCAAGTTTCGATGCAGAAGCGACAGAAGGCGTGCTCACAGCCGGATGACTGCAACGGCTCCTCCAAGACATCGGCGCAAATCGGACATAGCAGCTCCTCGTCAACGTGACCAACAATTAATGATTGATCAAAGCCCATCTTGCAGTATTCTGATCGCAATAATTAATACTACTTAGTGATAATTATATTTGTATTTAGCTGCCAAATATACTAAGTATTTTTTATAAATTTCGATTCAAAATGTGAGAGTTGACTCGCTGTTCACGTACTTGTATTGTTAGTTCAAATTTGCTGTAAGGTGAGTCAAAGCTACCTGTGATTCTATTTGTAATTAACGAATAATTGTTCGAATGATGTAATGTATTAATATAAAATGTATCAATATATAATTTAGTCTTATTATGTATTCTGCGCAGACTATAATAGATTTTTCCATCTTTATACTAACGTTATACAAACCAAGCAACGTACAATAAATGAATTTATTTTTACATATTTTAGAAAACCTAAATTTCAGAAAATTCGGATCATTTAATGTGACGGACATATGGAAATTTTTGTGAATAACCTTTTTCAGATATTATCTTCGCCTGTACTGTAGTCATCAAATCAATACAAATAATTTGTTTTCTGAGATCCCCTTTGGGACACGATCAGTGTGCAAATAACGGATGATTGACAGTGGATCGTTATCAGAACCATTGATTGACATTCACACGGTGAGCAATTAGCCGCTCAGATAATAGAGCAGCTATGCGTAGTAAACGACGCCAAGACTAGTTGATTCCGGCACACATATTTCCTATTTGCAACTTGCCTAGTACGCATCGATGCATCCACACATTTAAGTTCGTTTTATTTAAGCTAAACGAAAGAATAAACATTTCAATCAGTGCAAGGTGCGTTGGCACCAATATCGGATTGTATTTGTGTAAATACTTTTCTTCTTCTCCTTCGTCCTTGCATCACTCTCGACTCCTACCTAAAATGCGTATAATGCCTTTTCCTTTAATGGAATATGAAATTAAACCATAATTATTGTATGTACATTTATTTGCACTTGATATATATTTTGCACCATTAATATTCTTTTTTTGGTTGGGCGGATTAAATAAAGAAGAGCATAAACACATTCGTTCTTCGCCATACCTATACAATTAGCTGTACACTCTAGTTGGGTTTTTTTGCCCGTACTGCAGCTCATGTTGGCTAGCTAGTAAATTTGATTTATTTTGTATTAAAAATATTTTTTAAATTTCAATTTTTGCTTGAAGACTTATCATTTAGTTACTCCAAAGTAAAAGGAAAAATTATTCAACCATAAACTTTACACAATTATCTTATCATAATTTCTCATATAATACCAACTTTATTTCAACTTACGCTTATTTAAAATATTCATGCTGCTTAAGAGCTGTATTACAATTTTGAAAACTTGCAACTTTTATGGTGTGCTGTAAAAATTATTTCAATTGCTATTTGTAAAACTTTGCCAAATGGTGTCGCCAACTGCCGCAAACTGAAACTGCAACTTTCGCATTTTCATTACAAGTTTTCCTCAATTCGCTGTCAGACAAAGTACTCTCGATTCAAGCGTATGCCTCAACTTAATTTGCACAAAAATGCACGTATAAATTTATGCATACGCAGAGTATACTCAGCTAATTGTTACATAATTGGGTGGAATTCATGTGATTATTAGTACTCACTTTGGTTAAATGAAAAGGTAGCCGAAGAATAAACTTTCCTATGGCTACTATATGACATAGTAGGCCGATGCTAATCAAGTTCTCCTACATTGAACATCAGATTTCCCATTTGATGGATTCCAAACAAATTATCATTTTTTAATAAAGATATTATTCGAACTTTAATATTATATATATAAAATATATTGTTGACGCAGATTGTCGGACATTTGAGCATTATCGCCGCCCAAGAGAATGACGCAATTCATAACAATTATTCATTGTTGAAATTTTCTAGCTAGAGTCTTCCATTGCTATTTGCTCTGTTTTGTATACACAGATATATTTAAGGAAGGAATACTTTTAAAGCCGGAGAGTGATAAAATTAAAAGCACATATTATTCACGAATACAAGAAGAATTTTCAGATCAGATTAATTGTATATTTAGTAATTTTATAATTTAACAAAATCAGACATAAATAAATTCACAAAATGGTTATGAAATAATTAAGATGACATTGTATTATTAACATTAATATTTCCCAATAAATAGTTTTATTTATTGTAAAAGAAAATAAATAATTTAAATGAAAAATAACTCAAAAGTGACTTACGGCATTACAAAAACTGAAGTAAAACTATATTTAATTCATATGAAACCAACTAAGAGTACGAACAAGATGAAGATGAAGAACATTCAAATTTATTTAAATCATCTCCATAGACAAGTGGCAGAAAAGGCTTTGTATATTTATGGCTACAACTGCAGCGGAAGTTACGAAAATTGGAAAACTTGTGCCATAAGCTAAAGTTGCCAACTGTTGTTATCATTCAGATTTGTGTTGTTGTTGATGTTCTAGTTACTGTTGTTGCTGTTGCAAAACAAATATAGCAAATTTTATTTATAAAGTTAAATTTTAACAAATTAACTGCGAATGGAATTAAAAAGAAAGAAAAAACAAATAAACTAGCGTAACTGCAACCAGTCTCAATTTTTGTCCATTGAATAGTAAATGTTGCACAAACACTCAAGGCACACACTAACTGACACACACACACATACACACACACACACACACACACACACACACTCACAAGCAGTCAGGCAAAAGCATATTGTCATATATGCCAAAATATTTGCACTATATAAGACACAACCACATATATTTATATATTTATATGTATATATATAGATTGCAAACAAATATTTGGACGGACTCTGAAAATGTGTGCTTATGTGACTCTGAATTTGATTTTAAATTTCAAATTTCGTTTTGTCCATCCGTTGGGATATAAATTTTCATGTTTATCATCACTTGGCATTTGCCATTGTGCGGAGACTTTTTGTGACAACTGTACATAACTATCTTGTGTTATTCCTCGGACTTCTGTGACAAACATTTTAGCTTCGTTGAACTACAATTTTACTAGTTGTTTGCATAATTTAGCAAGTGACTAGAGCTTCAAAGTTCTTTAAATTTGCTTATCTGTAAGAGCAGCTACTTTTGGGCCTAAAATTGGGCATACCAGATTTATTTACACGTTCGAAATTCACTTTAGAGCTATGCAAATTATTACTGAGAACAATAATAAGATAAATTGTTTGATTATATTTAGATGATTAAATGGGCTTATGCAAAAAAAGCACTTTTTAGCTTAATGATTATAATAATTTTTTTATTGTACTAATGCAAAGAAAAAACACTGCCATCATCGAACACGCTTTATCTATGCCATTTTTTAGCAACAGTTTTGTTAAATTAAACATTAAACAAATATATTTCACAGTCAAAACATACTTTAAAGTGAACCTGAAAGCGTAAGACACTTTTCATATCAAAAACAAAATAATATTGGAATATTACCAATAAAAAATAATAAAAACAAAATAATATTGGAATATTACCATAAAATTATAATTTAATTTTTTTCAATTTTTAAATTTGCATATATTTGGGGGCCCTGAACACAATGCTTACACTTTTAATTATTCCATGCATGAACATTGTCGAATACGCTATCGTGATTTAAATTGGTGTTATCAATTCAGAGTGAGAATTCAATTTGAAAAGTGTTAACACTTGAGCAATATTTGTGGTTTGCGGTTGGGCATCCTAACTAGTTCATACCCTGAACGCATTAAAAATGGGCAAAAGGGTATTATGGTTTTGTAAAAATGTATGTAGCAGGCAAAAATAAGCATATCCGTCCCCATAAAATGTATATATTTTTGATTATGATCTTGTCGATATAGTTATGTCCGTAAGTTCGTCTGTCCGTCCGTCCGTTCGGTCGTCTGCATGAACACGCGGATCTCAGAGACTACAAGATGTGGAAACCTTAAATTTGGAATATGTACTCCCTTAGTTTTTTATTACTCTGTGCCTGCCACAAGAGAGGAGTGCACTCGTCGACCTTCTCACATTTGTATGCAAAACTTTGTTAAGAGATATTTGCCAGTAAAACTAGAATGAAAACAGCTGTTTTCTGAATATATCATAGTGTAGCTTACTCGACTACAGAATACTTACTTGTTTTTTTTTTTGGTCTGATGAGGTTCATCTGGGATACCCTTAGTCCACGATACAAATATTGGACTAATTTGCATTTAAATACCCCCGAAATCTATGAAAATATTCGTATTCTTGTAATTTAATTTAAAACATTACATTTTATTTTTAATTTAATATATTAATTTTTGTAGTTTTCTGTGTCGTTTGATATTATTCGACATTAAATAAATACATAAATAAATAATTATTTAAATTTATTTTCAATTCATAATCATCACAATCATTTATCAACCATTTTCATTTGGCTTCATTTAGAGTAGATAGATAGAACAAAAACTGAATTATATAATCGAAGCACTGAACCGGGCTAATTTAATAAGTCAAGCACCCAACACACCCCATCACACAAATACAAACATACTCGCGCACATGTGAATAGTATGCCTACAATAATATTTTTCCAATTGAACTAACGCAGTTTAATGCAAATCAACAGTTCCGCTTTTCGAGACATAAACGAATGTGAGTGAAGGACATGTTACAACGTCAACTACAACTAATACGTGTGCATGTGTGTGTTTGTGTGTGTGTGTGTGTGGGGGGGAGGTGGGGTTTGAGTGTGTAACGAGCTACAAATGTTTACCGCAAAATGTATATTTGCATTTATATTTCTTGTACTCGTCGTGTTGTCATTTCATTGCAAAAAGCGAACGTGACACATTCGCCTCAAGTTGCCAACAAGCCTCAATTTCCCACATCCCCCTTACTAAGCTTACCCTCCTAGTATTTTATATTGATTACCCCACCATGGGAGCCTCTATACAGTGTGCTTGATAAGCAGAATACTTGAATCCAATTTTAAGTATTACTAATATTAGGGGGAAGATCGAAAGAGAGTTATGTTATTAGTATAAGGGGTAGTAATTGATCAAGTACTCAGATACTTTAATTTCGATTTTTATAATCTTATTACTTTTATTAATTATAAAGCCCAA